CCCAACCCCCCATTAAAACCCCCCCCCCCCCCCCCCCCCCTGGTCCAATCCCAAAAAAGTTTCACAACCAATTTCCTCCCATGCTAGAATTGGATTCCCCTTGGGGCACCCCTCCTACGAGCAGGGGTGCAACAATGTCAAATTAACCCAACAAAAAAACCCGAAGCACCTCTTCCCCTCCCCCTCCAAACAGACAAAAGAGATTGCGGGGGTACGGGGGATCCAATAACATTGACAGCAAAGAATATGGGGGGGATTTTGAACCCCGTTTCCACGGGGGGGGGGGGGGGGGGGTGATATTATCGTGCACAGCAGTTGTTGTCTGCCCGACCACACCCGAGGCGATTCTGTGCCTACGCTTGGCTGTCGCTGGAAGTGGCCTCACGCGATAACAGACCCTGCCTCAGTTGTCACAAAACAACGCTTATAACGACAACGTGCTCGAGGCTGCCTCACAGCAGTTGTTGGGATGCAGCTTGTTCAGCTGTGATGCTACTGGCTAGTTGATAGAGTATGCGCCCCACATTCTTCCTCCTAGAAATCTCTCCCCCCGGCCTTGTTCATCCCTGATGCTGATGGTACTGACTTCCCAGCACGTCACCGGTATATTTGCTTTGTTGGATGGACTATCTGCCCGGCGCTCGGTCCCGGTATTGTATACATACCCCTACCTGCGGCACACAATATGCGACACCACGGAGCACCCCCCCCCCGTCCCTTCGAATCCCTTGTCAATTTCTTCTCCTTCGGTTCAGCCAGCAGCTCTCAGGTATTTCTCTTTTGTTCTATTTTACGGCTGCCAAACGCTAGCATTGACCGCATCCCCGTGGGCGTTTCACGCCCTGCGCGGTACGCCCGTTTCATTTCGATCACTTGTTGCTTCCAGAGGTACTTGAAGCCGGGGTGCGCGCCCAACAAGTTAGAGCTGGACGCAGAGACCTGCGAAGACATCGCCGAGACCTTGTACACTCGGGGTAAGGCCGCCGGGGGGGGGGTGACCTTCAAGCTGTCGCGCGAAAACGATGGCCTGCACGTAAGTCTGGCCTCTCCGTTCCTCCGCGTTCACGCTGTCGAGTATGTGTGTGTGTGTGTGTTTTTTTTCTTCGGGGAAGCGCAACACGTAGGCATTAATACGCGCATATGATCTGCCCACCATCTACATAAGGAAAACGAACAGCAAGAAAGAGTAGGATGTAAAAAAATATCAATATTTACGTGGAGTAATCATTCGTCAAAACGTGGATCATCCACGCGTGTACACATCGCGATAGGCTGTCATCGTTACGCCATCCATTTGCAACAAGTTGGAGGTTGTGCTTCTTGTGCCCTGAGTTTGGCAGCCTTTGAGGGGGTGTTTACGTGGCCTAAGTTGAGCCTTAAGCCCGTCAGCGGGAGTTGCCAGATCGCCGAAGCCAGGGCGGTTTTGGCGTGATAACACCAGCGACAACACAACAATCACCTGCTTGTACCACCTGTCCTCATGACCAAATCGAACTTCAAAGGACCATCATGCTGATTCGTGCTTGACGCAATTCCGATATGTTTCCACACACACACCCTTTCCGCCCCTCCGTACAGACAATTTTTCACGGAGCCATGCGGAAGACGTTCCAAACTCTTCTGTTCGACTACCTACCGGATTTCCTAGCCTCGCAGCCCGCAGACTTTTGGCAGGGTCTTGCAGACATGGGCAGCAACGGGGAAGGGTGTCACGACGGGCTGGCAGGGGGAGAAACCAGGGGGATAAGCGGCGGCCCTCCTGCCGATGCAGAGCAGAGGGGCCAACAGCCCCCACAGATGAACAAGGTGTGCGCATTCTTTCAAACCACGACGAATCTCGCCGAACGGCGGGCTAGTGCAACTTGTCAGCTTCAGCTAGTACACGCTGGACGCGAGAATACACTCTCGTCCGCGGGGACCCCCGATAAGGGGATCGCGGAGAAGACTACCCGGAAGGGTCCGCATGATGGTATCCGTAACAACTTTATTTGATGGTATCCGTAACAACTTTATTTGATGGTATCCGTAACAACTTTATTTGATGGTATTCGTAACAACTTTATTTGATGGTATTCGAAAATGACAACTTCAAACAACGACCACGACATGCTTGCAGGTCACGGCAAAGGACGCCTTTCTTGAGCACCCAAGGATAATGTTCCACATCAAACGGTATCTGGCCAGCCTGTCTTCTCTGGGAGCGAGAAAGGGCGGCAGCGTGGACGTCGGCGATCGAGACATGGGCACCAGGTGCCTTGACTGCCTCGAGCAGATTCGTGACTTTCAAAAGGCCACCACGGCGGAGCAGAGGCGAAAGCGCTGGGCGGTGATCCGAATGTAAGGAGAGGGGGGAACTGGAGCACGATTTTCGGTTCAAAGAACGTCACAAATGGTCGTGAGTTCATTTTTGCTAGAGTTCATAAGAACGAGTTTCTCAGAAATGCAAGGGACCTCGCGATTGTACACGCACACACCGGCGTAGGACAGTGATCCAACAAATCCAATGAATAGGCTCGAGAGAAGAAAAATCATCGCTTCGCAGGCGCTTCTGCTAGATTCTCTTCACCCGGGTGGACTGCGGAGTTAACATTTGTGCGATGGGGCCAAATAACACAGCAACAACAACAACAACAAGGCGCGTTCTCCTCGAACCCCACTACTTCACTCGTACAGAGAAACGATACGATACGAACTTGTCGACGTACGAACGTTATGCTTCCACAGCAAATACTTTTACAATACTCCAGGCGTTGGTTGTCTCGGCTGGCGTCATCCCAGTTGCCGCTGTTGCAAGAATTCCAAGGCGGTGATGCCCCGTTGATTCTCGTTCCAGGGTGGACGAGAATGTACATAATGTAGTGTACTTTTTGTTTGTCGTCGCGAAGGAATCAACGCTGGTCATGAACCTTTTCTCCCGTGCTGCTGTGTTGTGTTTATGTCAGGCGGTACTGCGGGGAGGGGGGCCTCTCCGCCCCGACCTTGGACGCATTGGCAATGAGCGCTGCTGCCGACGGCAAGGACAACGGGGACAACAGAAATCGACATGACAGCAGGAGCAGAATCCAGCCTTCGTCATCACCATCAGCGTCAACGTCGGAGGAGTACCAGCTGGCGAGCATGCTGGACAAGGCACACGACGAGATTGTGGACATGCTCATGACGGAGCACCTCGCGGGCTACCAGGTAGTAGACCATGCTCAAGGTCGAAGAAGAAACAGCGCATCGATCGATGACAGGAACAGCAGCGAAGAACGAGAATAACACGAGCGACCAAAAATCAATCTTCACTGATTCTCCTGTCCCACTCAAGCAAATAGTAGCAAACGAAATACATCCCTATATCTTACAGAGAACATACAGATCGCACCGCCCCAAGGCGGCCTGTGAATTACGGTGCGGAAGTTGGTGTGAAATGAAAGATGTATGTGGTGCAGAACGCTGGAAACTACATGTATGTATGTAGAAAATTTCTTTTTTGTGGGTAACGTTTTTTCAGTTGCTGAATTCTGTATTATTGTCAAATTTGGCCGACCGTCGGTATAGGGTCTGCCAGATCCCTTGGCACTATTCGGCCACACACAGGGACCACTACTGTAAGTGGATGCTAAACAAGTCCAACCAAGCCCGAAAAGAACAGAGAGCAGGAAGTTCCGAAGAGGACGTATAATAAGCCAAGAGAGACTACTACTACTGTAGAAGTAGGGGAGGGATCACTGCTTGCTGTTGTTGCTATACGCGCGTGCTGGCGTTGCAATGCAACGGGAGACTCTCTTGTCGTGGATACAGGAGACACCCTTGCACGCGCGTCGGCCTGCTTCATCGAATTTTCGTACGGAGCACAACGCGCTCAAGGGGCCAGGCTGTGGCATGGCATGACAAGGCGGGTTGCTTCACCAAGAAGAACAACAACAATATTCTTACACGCCTTGTCGAGTTTTCTGTGTGGTCAAAGCTCCGAACGAAATATTTTCTATGCGCTACGACGACGCAACGCTTCACTGGATTTTTTTTTGCTTCTCCACGACAGGTCGAATGGAGAGCAAAGGGCCACCCGACACCGTCGTCCTGATCGTTCCTTCGTTTCTTTTCGTTTTCGCCTTCTCTTGCCCCGTTATGGCTGGTTCACATACTTGCTTACGGTGGCCGGCTGTGCAACCGAAAAAGACGAGTATCCACAGCCAACAACTAGAGGATTCTTGGGCTAGGGAGAGGATTTCAGGCCGTAGTTTCCCTCCTACTACTGCTGCGGCTACCACGGCAGCTGCTGCCACCACGGTCGCTGACCAACCTGGGCACGAGGTGAACGAATGATGCATGAGTACGCCCCCCTCTTCGTTTGATTTTCTTTTAAGAAACGAATTTTGGTATGTAGTTGTTGCCGTGGGGGCGGTGACGTTTGTTTGTGACGTTGGTAGTGCCTTCACATCCAATGCCGCCGCGCTTATCACGCCCTTCAACAACTTGAATACCGATTTAGAGAGAACGATTGTGGCGGTCATCACACAGCCTGCTGTCACAGCCTACTACTGAAACCCAAAGAAAGTACATTCGAACAGAGCATGCTGCCCAATGTCTCACCACTCACGGAAACACGCAAGAATCCCCCGAAAAGAACAAATGGAGCGCAAAAATGTCTCAAACAGTCAGATAATTGTGGCCGCAATCTGCTTTGAGTTGTCCACTCCCATTATCCCCCATATGAAGGAAAACCTGGGCCGGAGTACCGAAAAAAAAAAACTGGGTGGGGGATCCGGATCCCCCCCCCCCAAATATCCTTCCATCTTATCCCGTGGGTGTATGTTGTTCTTTCGGTGGACGGGATATTTTCTGCGTTTGATTTTCGCATCAAATGTACATCGTAACTGATCGAGTTTGAAGCTTTCATTCAGGCGGTGAATCATCGGTGCTGTTGTCTTCCATGCGTTCGATTGGTGAAATCAGTTCTATGTCAAGACACGACCATTTTAGACGTCTTTTGGAGCGTGAATTCACCCCCCGTAATATGTTTTCTTGATACTTTCATTTGCGGCTTGTTCCCTGGAATACGGGTGAGGCTACTACAACAGTGTAAAACATGCAATAGGTGAGCGTGCGCCACATTGGGAAGCTATTGCTATTCCAAGATGTTTTTTTGGTCGAAACGCGTGGTGACCCCTAACACCACGGCTGTGCTTTCAAAATCATCCTAACCATTCTGCCCTTTTCCCCTCCGTTTGGGATTTGCTTTAACACCAAAAGAGTGAAAGTACAGTACAGACTGAATATTTCTCCCGTATCCAGTGTTTACATACTTTTCATATTGATCAATCTGGCCAACACAGCAAAGATCACCTGAGCCTGATTTCGTTTTCTTCTTCAACTTCTTCCTTGTGCGCCAATGATTTTATGCTCCTCGACGGAGATATATGGACGTTGGCTATCGAGAACGGCCGTCAATAAAATAATACTGCCCCCTCCCACGCCCCAAAACTTGTACAGGGAAACGCGCAGCCGGAGGCACGCCGGAGATACTTGGGAGGCAGTGGCAGCGTCAAAGGAGGCGCAAGCGGGAAGAGAGAGCCGATCAGAGACCCAACCGCGCGACCGGCGAACGCCCAGATACGAAAGAGGGAGTCCTACAAGCTTCCCGAGACGCTCCGGCACAGCAGCAGCGACGAGAATTCTCCGCAAAGATCAAACTTTAACGGCAGCATTGGGAGCAGTACCTTCCGACTGATCAGCCCGGGGGTGCCAAGGAGAAGACGTACCGAGGGGGAGGACGGCGTTAACCTTGGAGGTGGCACCGTTACGACAGTGGGAAAACCTCTTCGCAGGTTGGTGTTATTGGCGCAGGTTAAACTGAAAATTGTTGTCGACCTTTGTTCATTGGAACGTGAGCACCTCATCAATCGTTTATCCGAGATCAACGTGGGGCCGATACCATTCCCCCTACACGTTATATTCGTCAAAATTCTCGCCGCTAATTTCGTTTTCTCTCTGCAAATTCCAAGGTGCACTACCGAAGCGTCAGGCAGTGCGTGGAGCATACGGGGCCAAGAAATCAGTGAGTGTTTAAGTGCATGTGGTTGGTTCACCTACATAATTGGCTGTTATAATAGGAAATAATCTGGTTCTTTCGTTCTCTGTTGCTTCTGAATCGCTTGCTTCCCTGCTTGTCGGTCTCGTGCGTGGCTTTGTTCCTACGCGGTTGAGATTTTGTCTTCATTTCCATCATTTCCATGGTAGCGATACAGCAGTTGAGGTACTCGAATATGGCGGTGGTGGAGCATTCGATAATGACCGCCTTATGTGGGGCAGCTGCCGTATTCAATGTGTAGAACGACTTGACTATTCGGTCTATTCCAGCCAGTTTTAATCGCCTTATAAATAAGCACGACCGCATCATTTAGACCGCCTTGTTCGGGGACCCCCACCGTACATGTTTCTCTCAATATTGCGCGCGAAGATAAGCTTGCCCTCAGGGGGCTCTCTTCATGGAGGTCTTTGAGAAAGCACTCTGTCCGATAAACGGAATCACTGAACACTGATATTGGCACGTGTGTCACTGCTAGCGAGGAGTACGGCACGCACAAGCACCCAGTACATTCGTTCATCTCAACCCTGCAACTCGCAGTATTTGCTGAAAGCTGCGGTAGGTGCCTCCGCACTAACATCTTCTAGTTCAACCCTCTCCATCGCTGGCAGGCGACCGGGAGACATCCCGATCGAGGCTAGCGGTACTGCCGCCGTTGAGTAAGGCATCGAGCTTCCCCCAGGCCGTACACGATGACGGTGCCGTCACGCCTCTCACCTCCCCTGTCGTCGGTGCTGATCCTGGTGGGGCTGATATTGGCAGTAAAACCCACACGGGTGGTGGCGGAAACACCACGGGAAGCAAGGAGGAAAACGCTGGACACCAGAATCAGCAGCAGCAACAGCAGAAGAAGAGGCGGCGGCGATGCGAGCCTTTAGAGCACTCTCATCGCACGGAGCATCTCCTATCTCTCGACCGAAAGGGCAAGTATAGCCGGGGGTTGTGGGGCGCCTTTGAGCAGGTGAGAGTAGCAACAGTCAACTGGAAGGACGACGAACCCCACGACACAGGGGAGGGCAAGGAGGACGGAAAAGGAGGCGAACGCGGACAGGATGGGTGGGACTTAGTTGGCCGAAAGAGCAGGGGCCTCGGGACAAGCCGCGGCACCCACCTCCCACGAAGCAAAGATACGGGACGGAGATACTCGTTCTCGGGACCCCTCTACACGATCGCCAAGCGCGGTCGTGAGGAGAACACTCAACACCAACAACAGGTACTCTTAAACATTTGCAGTCTTCACGCGTCTAACGTGTTCGGTGGCTCTTTCTGTACAACACCACCACCGCGTTAGCACGGACTCGCATGTTTTGGGTACGATGCTTTGAATCATTCTCGCCCCTGCCGGCTGATTCTTTTTACGACCCCGCGAACAACCCCATGTTTCGGAGGACCTCGTGGGAGGAGGAGTATGAGAAAGAGCGTGAGCGAGAGAGAGAAAAGTGGGGGGCTCCGAACAGATTTTCATTCAAAACCATCTCTGATTGAACGTACACTTTCGTATTTTGGATGTTGGGTGTCACGCACCTCCTTGGGTTGGCCATGCCCGCGTCGTTGCGATGTGGAATTACATTCAACTCGACCAGGGTTTCATCAAGCCTTTTGCTATTCAACGATGGCATGATGCCGGGCTAGGTGGGGACATTCGTGGGGGGCGCCTTGGGTGGGTGGTGGTGGTCGTTTGTCGTCGTCAAGGCCATTGTTGTGGTTCTATCGATAAATCTCCCGCCGCAGCTGCCCCGCTGTGCCTCCTCCACTGGTCCCATTCGTTTCCGATCGGTAGCAAGCGACAAAAACTGTCGGGGTCGCACATCCCACTGGCAAAAAAGCGCGGGGAAACGTCGACAGCGATCCATTGACAACCTCGATTTACCGCAGGTGAAACCTCGAAGCCAGTCTTGCTGCAGCGGGTTGGACAATATAGCCAGGTCCGTGGCCGCAGAGCAGGAGGCAGGCCCCGTCACGCTGACGGCACCCCGCCGAGCCAACAAGGGCATGGTGAACCTGATCGCCCCATCGTCGCCTTCGCAGACTGGCGGCGGCACAGACGTGAGCTGCTGTTCACGCAGCAGAAGCAACAGCAATGCTTTGCACAAGTACAACGAAGATGAACTCGTTGACATGCTCACGCTTCTGGAAGACCCTCTCGGCCTATCGTTATTCAGAAGGTGATGATGTTGTTGTGTTTTGCTGTTGTTCCTTGCTGGTGTACCACAGGACGGGAATACCACGGCCGCAGAATGCCTCTCCTTCCAAAATTTTGTTTGGCTGCCCCACTGATGCATGCGCCGGGCGTGTCGAACAGTACACCCCCTGTTCTGCAGGAGTGAGCGATCGACAAAGATTGACGCTTGCTTACAATGGGTTGGATAGAGCTGTCGATGTTATTGTTTTCGAGCTTCGGCCACGACTAACACCACCACCACCAACGACAACAACAATGGCAGGCACAGCCAAGAGTTATTTCAAGAGGAAAATGTCTCCCTCTGGACAGAAATCCGCAATTTCAAGACGGGGGAGTACGCAGCCCCGTACATGGGAACGGCCCTGGAAGTGGGAGAGGTATCTGCCCTATACCGGATTAGAGAACGCCTCCGAGGGTGTAAAAGTGGAATAGAAAACGGGGCGTTTCAACAATATAAAAATGGACTACTGTAGGTGCCCTCGGGGCGATTCTCAAATAACAATCGCCGGGCGGCATGCTCAGTCCGGGCACAATGTGTACCAAGGGATAAAAAAGCAACACCGATTTGTGTCGTCAGACTTCGTAGATCGGAACGGATTGGAAAAACAGCATATCAATGTTTGGAAAAAACCAGTGAAGCTCATATTAGTTTCTTTAGATAGAGAACCAGCGCATGTTCCTTCTGTCGTGGGCTCGCGTCGTTTGTGTCATTAGGAGCCTCTATAGAAGTAGAGCTGACCCCCCCTCCCCTCCTGCTTTTTCCGGGAAGCAAGAGACTTGTTGCGATCCGTCCGGCTTTCTAGTCGCAGAAATGTCAACATAATGGTTGGCCACGGCATCTTCTCCTTTAAAATTCCCGCCATCCAAGGCCTTCAGCCACGTCGCGCATATTCCTCCCCTTGCGCCCACTTCCCCCTGGGTTTCCGACAGTGCGATCGCTAACGATGCGATTGCGAAACTTCCCCGCCTCTCTTCACCTCTACCTGACTTGGGTGCGACAGGGCGACAGCATCGTAGTCCTTCGTGCGAAGAGGGCGCGATTGATTTTCGACACGTACGTCTCGGAACAAGCGGAGAACCAGGTGGGTGCACACACATACAACCCAGGAACGAAGCGTCTACGTCGACCGCGGTCCGCTACTGCGGGAAGCGGCCTTGACACCTTGTTTTAGAAACATAAGATCACGCGCCCCCTTCCTCCGCGACAGAGACAGGCAACTGAGCTACACAACGCGAGCAGTACACCCCCCGGTGCACGAGGTTTCTGCCGTACGAACGATGGACGGACACGCATTCGACGCTTGCTCTCTTACTCAACCGTTAGAGGTTCCTCTACAAGCTGTAGTGCTCTACCTCAGAGCTGTAGATTCAAGCAGTGCAGGATAGAGAAAAATAGGAAGCCACAAGCACTCGTCCGCTTGGCGTTGGACGACCGCTCCCCTCGTTTCTCTCCTCCTGACTCGCTCCGCTTTCATTCCTCCTGCGAGGCAGGTGAACCTGAGCTCGAGCTTACGTGAAACCGCTCGGCAGGACGTCGAGAAACTGGAGCGCGTTGCAGCAGCACCCAACGAAGGTAGGCGCCCACAACACAAGTACAGCCCCGAACAACAACGCTTGAATTTTCACTCGGTTGCACTTCTTTTTTGCAGACACCATCCTCCTCTTCTGCGCGTTTGGGTGTCGACCTCTCGGGGGGTGCTGATCTACATTAATCTGTACCTCCTTCGAGTAGCTGTCGTTCATGAGGCAGATGGCGCCCGTTTCCTCTCGTGACTTCACCCAATGACTTACTGATTCCACCAGTCTCTCATCGATCGAAAACCGGGTGCGTCGGGTCAGGCCTGGACTCCTTTTGTCCTTGGCCTGCAAAGCACCGCAGGCAGCAAAGGCACTGAAGCACTCCCTGTCAGATGCGCCGTCAGAGAAACTGTCGGCAGTCATGGGACGCCCACGCTCTTTCAGCGGGACACGCATGTATCTCGCGTTCTCCTCTTCCAGAAATGCCTTACATGCTCCTTGTCGGCCTTGCCATCGTGGGGAGCACCTCGCGCTGGAAGAGAAATGATGTGTGTGCGTGACCATGTTGTGTTCTTCATCGCGTGCGTGATGACGGAGGATGAAAAGTTGGTTCAGGGGGCAACACGAGTGTCACCAAAACTGTACCATCTCTTAACGTTCGCAGTGTAGCAGGCCTTTTTCATCCCTCTACTGTACCAAAAGGAAACAGGTTGTGAGTACCCCACGAGACAACTCGTTCTTGAAGCGGGCTGCTTGAGGTGTCTTCTTCTGAAACCTTTTGCCTCTTGTGCTTCTGCGCGGTATTTTGTGGTCAATGAAGCACAACCGAGATGCTGATAAGTTGATATGCTTCCCTGCTGCATATACCATTTTGGGACCAACTTGTAGTTTCGCAGTCGCCTCGCGTGCGTGTGTGTGGCCGTTTGATGAAAGGACTCCAAAAGCCTTTTAGCATCTGTGTGTCTTTCTGTCTTTCTGTCTTTCTGTTCTACAGGCATCAGTCGAACACGTGTTCGTGTATGTGTGTGATTTCAGCAAATCCAATACATTGAGCAGAGAGGTACCCCCGACCGTCGACTGTTTTTTGCGTTCGAAACGGGTTTAACCCTTGAGCAGAGGACGAAACGAGCAACGCACTATACCTGCTGGACCACTGCGACGTGTTCGACGAGATCCATCAGGAGGTGTTCCGACTGATGGAACTTAACCTGTGGACCCCGTTCAAGATATCCAAGAGGTCAGGAATGACCGGTTCAAGTCGCACGCAGCAGTGTCGGAACCACGATTCTTCCTGCAAACAATAAATCGTAGACTGGACTAGGCAGTACGCACCTCAAGCCTGGTCACCAAGCGAAAAGAACACCACAAAGTCTTGGTTCCTTGGCAAACGGGGTAGACCACTCCCGCACCGCTTAGATAAAATAAAGTCAGTATTGACCTATAACGCGTGATGTCGTCGGGACGTGGTGAAAATGGTTCCCTCGTGGGCCTCAGATAAACGGTCTGCCCAAGGAAGGATTGCCTTTGATTCCTACGCGTGGATGATTTCGAATTGTTTTCGGAATCCCCCTAAACTTGCGTGGCTCTCGGTATCGATCTACCGCCATCCGCGGTGCTGCCTGTTTTACAGGATAGCTTTGGTGTTGAACACGTAACGCCGGGCCTCATTTCTGACAACCACGGCGAGAAAAAAAACGATTGCCCAAGATCCGTCCCGACAACAAGAAACACCCAACAACCTCGATTGATTAAGTTTCTCGCTCTTCTTTTGAACTTCACGCACCACCCAACTGCAAAATACAAAAAATCTCAAACGAAATCGCAACAGATCCCACTGTGTTGCTTGTTGCTCTGAAATGCTTGCATCCCGTGCACGGGAACTTGAACACATCCCCAACAACACCGCCAAAACCACAACCAATCATGTGCGCTACGAACGACTATCCCGCGACAGGTATGAATTTTTCGCCAGCAAGTACTGGAGCCACCACGCACGTCGTTGGTCCAACAGCCTTGGACCCTCCCCGAATACCGACGATACCCACGAGGTATGCGCGAGTCTGTTGGCTCGTAGTAGTAATTGTTGTTGTTGTTGTTGTTGTTGCCCTGTTCCTGTGGTACTCCGACGGACGGTCGTAATTGATATTATTTGTTTTGCCGTGCAAGGTTCATCGAACTGGTGTGGCTGCTGGAGCCTACTTGCCTCTGTGACATACACAACGCGACCAAGGTGTTTTCTTCCTCTTTCGGGGTGTATGTAGGAAGGCCTCTGCTGCGGTAAACCAAAAACACAGCCGGACGGTTCTAAGTACCAGTCATCCTTAATGAACAAAGATAAGTCGGTTGTTGAACTTCATGTTCCTCTTCGTATAATACGTGGTACACCGGTGTACAACAACCTAGAGCTGTCACATGGTACACGTACTTCGTTTTCTTCAGTCCATAACTTTGGACGTAGTTAGCCAGCGGTTGTCATTGATGTAGTTAGCCAGCGGCTGTCATTGATAAGTGTACATCTAGCATCTGTTGTTCGTATCGTGCCGGGGCAAGCACTGTCAACATTACAATGAAGAAGGGGGGCAAAGTTGACGCAGGGACACAGCATGCCTCTTCTCGATACGTACCGGGGAGTTCAGCCCAGAGGGGGGGGTGTTGCAGAAAATGCAGCACCCGAGACAATAAGCTAATTGGTTCCTATCCGCCTACGCATGTGCCTGTTCGAAACAATTCATTTCCTCGCACTGTACACGTGATCAGGACCACCTACTATCGGCGTTGTCCGGGTCACCAGGACGACCACCATCAGTGATCATTCGAGGAGAAGATGCCATTGATGACTCGTCCGGCGGTGCTCAACAAGAACAGCGACAGCAGCATCAAGTGGTGGGCAATAAGGGAAACAACTACAAAGCACGTGCTAGCTCCATCGACAGTGCCAACGTAGGTACAAACAGCCGCATTGGTGACGCCAGTAGGCCCACCTTACCTACTACAGCAGTGCGAAGAGGCGGGGGCAAGGGACAAGACATTTCTGGAGCCACCGCTTGCGAGAGTGGGCGGTCGTCGATGCATTCTCCCTCTAACGCAATGATCACCGACATCACAAACAACGGCAGCGACAGCACCAGCACCAGCACCAGCACCAGCAGCACCAGCAACAACAACAACAACAACAATAACAATAACAACAACAACAACAACAACAACAACAACAACAGCAGCAACAACAACAACAACAACAACAACAACAACAACAACAACAACAACAACAGCGACTCGAAGTATGGGAGCGACATGCAGCGGTTCCACGGTGCCCTGAGGAGGTCCTCCGAGATGGCGTTGAGCGCGGTCGCTTCGTCCGCCGCCGACACTATCACAGCGTGGTCGGCGTTCGCTCGAAGGATTCAGCGCAGCCGAGGAGAGTCACTTCTCTCAAAAGATGACCACGATAGCACCCAAACTGCTCTAGGTTGTACCTCCGGCGCTAAGTGCGATGACGGTCGAATTAACGGTGTCGTTGCTGTCGGCGATTGTGCTGGCGTTGGGGCTGGCGCTGGCGTTGGGGTTAAAGGCGGTATTGGTGACGGTGGTGGTCATGAGGCCAGCACCGGGTTGCCTGGCGGGGGTTAGGGGGTAGCCGGCAGTGGTGTTTGCTCCTACGCGTCAGGTGAAGGCGAAGGACTCGGGGCTTATGACTTGGTAAAGTGGCGCCAGGAGCGGATGAAAGAGTACCTAGGAAAGGCCGTGTGGACGTTAGCCACTACTACATAGACTGATGCTGTACGCGTACAGTACTTGTTGAATACGCACTGGTTTTGGTGCAAGAAAATAGGACGTCTTCGTGTCCTATGTTCCGGGTTGGTCGGGTAGTGTCGCGGCGGCCTTGGGTCGCATTCTACGATCGCGTCGCCGTCGCTTGGTCGTTCACGGCCAACACCCTCGAACTTTAGGCGTAGTCCACCAAAAGAAGTTCAATATTTGATTGTGGTAACTGATATTCAGGGAATCGCCGCCAAACCCTTCAGCGTCAAAAGGGTGGTAGAACCACTATTATAGCGAGCATTTTAGACGGCTCCTCTACCAACGGGAGGAAGAGTTGGAAATCGGTGTTAGTTGAATTAGTTCAAGAAATTAGGCATTTATTTGTATGATGTGGCGCAGAGGATGTAATCTGCGCTTCGCGCGTTAGCGTGAAAACACAAGACGGTCCAAGTCAAGTCTTCAACCACGTCGGCGCATCGGTGTAATGTGGAGCACTGGGACGCACGAGCGCAGAACACTGAGAAGCTGCCTGTGAGACCAGTCTCTGTTCCCGCAGCTAAGTAGAGTTGTGTCGTTTTCCCCACCCACTCCACACCTTAGTATTTCCCGAATGTGTGGAGAGTTACGATAGCTCGGGGTAAACATATCAGGAGGGTTTCAGTTCTTGGAAGTCTATAGATGCTTTATTGTTTTATTGTGTTTCTGCTGTAGGCAGGTGAGGCCTGATTGTTAGATGTCAATGAATGGTGGAGTGCCATATGGGTCTCAGTATAATTGAGACGGCATTTGTTAGGCCCAGCACGCTTGGGCCCAGCCACATATATTGTGACGTGGAAGGGAAACAAATGTGGTGGATTCTGGTTGAGAGAAAGAAGCGACGTCGTGCCCTCGGTTATAAGTACTACACTTTCGAGTCCAGCAGAAAAATGACACTTTTCAGGAATACAGTTAGCGCCCGAAATTAAGAAATATTTTGTTAAGAAATTGAGGCTCACTTTGTCACGAAAAATAAGAAAATAGGGTTAAGAAACATAAATAGTTCAATCTGGGTCACACAACAAGAAATGTCTCAATAAGAAACACAGCAGCGACCGCTGCCCTACTACATAAGAAACGAGGGGTTACGGGGGAGTGTGTCGAATAAGAAACAAACCCCACAGCTCTCGCTCTTTCCCCCTCCTCTCCCCCTACCCCCCCCCTCCCATAGTGCGCTCCATATTGTCATCTTCCATTGCTCTGCTCTGCTGCGCTAAAGCTCTGATTTTCATTGTTGGCATGTCAGCGTGCGGGTGAGGCATCATGCGGTGTTTATGCATTTGTTTAGTTTCAGCCCTCACTCATGAGGGGGCTACGACCTTGTAGCGATAGCAAGACGTTGCCGTTGAATACATTTCGCTTCTAAGGAGTGGTCTTACGTGCAGCCGTCGGTAGTGAGAATCGGGGTTGAGGAAATCAGAGAAATTCCCCAATTCCCCAATTCCCCAATGAATTGTCAAATTGGGGTTGGTTTCTGTCGGGGCTATTCGCGAAAGCACTAAATTTTTTTGTGACAAATTCGTATGGCACTGTAACGAAGGATTTTGTGATTTTTTCGTATGGCATTATAACGAAGGATTTTGGGGTATTTTGTCTTGATCGTAGTACAGAAAAAACGCGGCTTCATTTCGTGCCACACCACACGACACCACCACAACGATATCTCGAAAATCAGGCCACCTATCGTCACCGGACCACTTGGCATGTGTGCTCCGTCGTGCTGTCGCCGGGCGTGGCGGTCGTGTGGGTCACTGGTGTTGTGTGCGACGAGAGCGCACGGCGGACAAATATTTGTTGGCGCTAGCTCCTCGCGGAAGCGTCTCCATCTCTACATCTCTGTCTCTCTGTCGAGGGACACGCGTACAGCAGTATCGCGCCGCTTATAGCGAACCGGCACGAAACACGCCGCGTTATGAACCAAACTACTGCTGAAGATCTCGCGACTACAAGACTGGTTGCACACAGTCAATCGCTCTGGACAGCACACGGCCCCTGCTGATCAGCAGGGGCTGGCGCTGTCAGCAGGGGCTGTCGCTGGGAGTGGAACCGCCATGCCTCCAAAGAAGAACAAGTCGGCGACAACGGGTAAGGGGAAAAAGCGAAAGGATAGGCCATCATCTACAAGTTTTTTCTCCAGTGATGAAAGAGAGATGGGATCTCTACCAGCAACGACGATGGCGCTGTTCCGTTCCATCTTCTACCTGAAATCGTTCTTAATCGGATTCTAGAGTCATCCTGTGCAGAAGACGAAAGAGCTCGATCCGCGCAACGAGCATTAGTAGAAGCTAGGGCCGCAAGGCACGATGCTCAAGTCCAAGCTAACCGCGCTCATGACGAAAGACTTGCGAAAGCCGCGCGAGAGAAGCGAGAGATAGAAGCAGATTTAGATATTTGCGGTCAGGGCGCATCCAGGGCCGCCCGCACAGCGGCCATAGCCGCTAAAGCAGAGGCCGTCGCTGCCAAAGCTGCTCAGAAGGCGCTAAGGACACAACAACTCCTCACCAAAGCCGCGAACAGAAGAGAGTCGATCATGGAGGCATGGATATGGAAACAGGGAGCAGATCGGGAAGTATCGAAGGAGGCACGCGCAGCACTCCTCGCAGACACAGCAGGCTCGAGCGTCGAAGACGTCGCCGCCAGGGTCGCAGACGCAGAAGGTGCGCGGCAAGTGTGCGCAATCGCCGCCGTCAGACGCGCTGAAGAAATTACGAAAAAAGCTCAAGCGGCGACGAAGCTGCCAAAGCCGCTAACATGAAAGCGAAAGCAGCCAGCAGAAAGGCAGCAGCGGCAGCGAAGAAAGCCACGGCGGCAGCGACCCACGCACGAACCAAGCTAAACGAGATAAGGTGCGTGCTCAAATGCTCTCTTTTAGCAGATTGAAATACGTTACCCATCCCAACTAGGTCTCGTGCTTCCAATGCTCATGACACTAATCTACTTTTTGCTCACAGTTCTTTCGTTTGCACAGATCGATCAGATGTGGTAAGCCTGTCGATGAGGTGGAGGCCGAGGCAGCACGTCCTGCCCAAAGTCAGGGAAAAGTGTTGAGTGACATCGCCGACCGTAAGCGTCGTTCTATTGAGGCTGCAAAAGAGAAGTATCGCAGTAAACGCAAGGATCTCATGAGGCGTACAGCCGCAGACGCCGCTGCCGCCGCGGAGAAGCTCCGTTCAATAAAGGCTGCAAGAGCGAACCAGCGCAATAAACGCAGGGACCTCGCGCGGCGTAAAGCCTCAGACAAAGCCACAGTCGCTGCGGCTGCCGAGAGGCTTCGTTCAATTGAGGCTGAGAAAACGCAACAGCATCAGCGACGCCTGAACCTTAAACGTAAAGCCGCAGACGCTGCTTGCGGCGAAAAGTCGACAATCGGACGCGGAAGCTGTTATATCCCCTAGCAGGGAGAAACAAAGACTCGAGCGCCAGAACCTTAAACGTAAAGCCGCAGACGCTGCTGCGGCGAAAAGTCGACAATCGGACGCGGAAGCTGCTATATCCCGTAGCAGGTAGAAACAAAGACTCGAGCGCCAGTCCAATGCCAAGTAAGTCCCATTGAATACTCCTATCCACAGTGTGTTCAACTTCGTAAAAGATTCGTCCCTGTCAACTTAAACTTGCAAGTTTAACAACAATTCCTAATAATCTCTTATCGGTTCAATTCGCAGGGTTTCTTATGTTCCGACAGTTGCCAAACCTCCTGTCGCAGCTTTTGATCATCCTGAAGGGACGGCCAAGACCGACCCGCCTTGACGGATGGCGTTCTCGACAAGTCCATGTTGTTGAAGTCCATATTCGACTATGATCAATATATCGCCGACAGCATTCTCAGGTGAAGAGTCCATTGATCGGCTATCTACAAGTCCATTTTGCAAGACTTCATTACCTTCAAAATCTGGCGTTTGTCAAGTTCGTTTGAAATTTCTTGCATCTTATTGGGTGCTTGAACTTGCAGTTTTCGTTTAATTTTATCACACAAGAACCGTGCACGTTCAAATATATATATAACCCTTCAATTTCATAGCTCACAGCGCGCAAATCATTGTTGTCGCATTTGTTGTCGGCCGCATTTCTTTCCCTAGCATCTCCTGTGCTATTTGTGACTGCTTTTGTCGTCGGGTCGACATTTCAAGGTTGTCGGCTCAAAATGTGCCTAATTCTTCCATCCTCCGCGCGGGTGACAATCTCACTTCACATCCTGAGATTATGGCAACATTTGTCGACTATCCCGGCGACAGTACAAACTGTCTAGATGGGCTTGTACTGGCGAGGGAAGGTTTTGAAACCGAGGAACCTCACCAGCTTCGAATATGTAAAGATTGTCTTCGTGTCTTTACTTTCATTGGTGCTTCTTTTTCGTCGATTCCGCTCTTCTTTTCTTCTTTTCCTATTGTATCCTGCTTACAAAAGTCTTTCTTCGCTTCACGTCTTCCTTTTTTCTCCTTATTCCCGCCGCTTTTCTTCCCAAATCCTCTTTCCTCCGTTTTTCAGAAAGTTTGCGAGCCTTGCTTCGTGCAAGGCCGGACGGACAAGCTCATGGGATGCCAGCCTGAGGCTATTAAGAAGCGCGAGGCCAAGCAGGCCAAATTCAACGGTTCAAACAAGGAGACCAAGCACTATTTAGTCAATGAATGTTGTTCCTACACGTATTCTTCTTCGCGGTTTCACTACTTGTCTTTTATCTCTGCATCTGTCTGTGTATTTTTTGTTTTTTTGAGCATTTTAGACTAAAAGTCTCGCCAGTCGTTTGACAGAGTTTGGCTTGCTGTTTGAATGCTCTTTGTCGCCCAATCGCCATGAGGCCCCACGAATGGGGTGCAGAATCGCCGATGGTATTAGCAGTTGGGGAAGCAGTCGTGGCGAAGCCCACGACAATCTATAAGAAATTGCCGATTTAAGAAATTCAGCAGGGTTTGGCTGCACGAAAAAATAAGAAACATGATATAAGAAACTGAACGACATACGCAGAGTTTATAGCCCACAATAAGAATTCGAGGCTGGACCTGAAATAAGCGTTTCTTAATTGCGGGCGCTAACTGTAAGACTACTGCTGTGCGGGTGGCTGTCTGTGTCTTTAGTTGTGTAGAGCGGGACAAAAGCCCGGAGGTGTCTTGGAAAAATAACGGAACAAGAGCAGCGAGAACGAACGCTTGTTTGTCTCGATAGGATCATCATGCGTGTGTGTGTATGTATGATGTGTCAATGCAGCGGCCATGCGAAGGTTACAACAGTTTGCAATGGTAGCAAGTGTAGATATCCTATACATCTGCTGCATACTTGTAGAGCACGAAAAATCTTCTTAGGCTTCAGGCCCGTCCGACTCATCAAGAAAAAAAAACGACAGCGCGTTCAAGCTCTCTATGTTGTTGTTGTTGTTGTTGTCTTCACATTAAAAACCGCTCCGGTCTCTGGTCAGTACCTTCTAATGTCCGTACTGGTCCAACTGACGCGGGCGCCTTCCGTGTTGTACACCATATATATATATATGCATGTATTGTAGCTCTCTCTGCGATATACGATATATCTCGATTTAGTCTTCTACTGCTGTATGTAGCTACATGTACACTCACTTGCTCGCTACAGATAAGCAGCTCACAACCACTATCATTATTATTATTAGGGGCAAGACCGGTTTAACCATCGACCAGAGATACAGCGGTGCCACGATGTTTTGTAGCCCTGCTGTATGAACAGCTACGGACGGACGGACATGTACTTGTAGTCGATGTGTAGATGTGTAGAGGGACGCGTTCGCTATAATAGTCTAATGAACGGAGGGGGGTGGGGGTGGGGGGGGGGTACTCATAGTCGTGCATGCCGTAGTCGTTAGACCATTGACCTCGCATCCCTACAAAGCCGGGACGGAGCACGCCGGGTTCTCACCGGACCAGGCTCTCAAATCACCAAGCGCGAAGCGCCGTGAGGTATTCGGCGAGTCGCATGAAGGGTGCGCTGCATCCTGCTAAGTAAGGAAGAGGGTGTTCGGCATCTTTTGTCCTAACTTCCTTGCGTACGGATGACAGCTGCGTATGACTTAATTTATTTTCTGGTGCTTTCACTTCCAGAGACAGTTGTAAGCTCTGTGTAACTGCCTCGAGGGTGTTTTGACCAATTTAACACAACGTGCGATTATCCCCTTTGCGCGGAGTGAGGGTTCTCGACCCCGCACAACATAATCTACTAAATAGACCACCATTCATGGTTACCGCAAAAAAAAAAACAAGAGGCAAAAAAAAAGAAGCGGTAACAACCTGGTTGCCGAGCTCACGAAGTGAATCGGCTTGTTTTACAACATCGCTGCCAAGCGACGAAAACCCAACCCTGATGGCAAACACCGGGGGGGGCGGCTTGTTTTACAACGTCGTTGCCAAGCGACGAAAACCCAACCCCGATGGCAAACATCGATGGGGGGGGGGGAGGTGCGAAAAAAAACGGGACTCCTGTAAGGAGCTGACACGCATGTTGCCGGTTGCTGTGCCACGAAACCGTGGGTGGTGTGGATGTATGTGCCGACTCCGTGGGTGTTGTGCTCCTTGCTTTCGTCATGATGACGAGGCGAAGATAGGTGTTTTGCCCGGTATATGGCACCCTGCACAAAAAGTGACAACATACATGCGTCGCGGTGGGCTTTTGGCGGCAACGACCGATCACCAGAGGTGACATGGCGTGACGTGTACCAAATTATTCGTGTTTCAGTCTATACTTGAGTACAAGCCTACAGACGTGTATCAATTATTCGTGTTTCAGTCTAGATTTTTTTTTTCTTCGATTTTTGAAATATTCCGATTGAAATATTCTACCTATGACCTCATCGGAAGCTACCGTACGATTTCCCGCGAGCAGCAATATCTCCCCTGTGGGTAGCAGGCTCAGCGCGTGCCAAACCGCGGACTGATCCAATGTATTCGGGGTGGAGAGGGGGAAGGGGGGAACTTCATATCTTGATTTCTTGTGACACAATCATCATCAGCTGCTGTCCCGTCCTCTGTTCTGAAAAAAAAAAAGAAAATGGGATGATTCTTACGTCGCGACTGGGCTGTTCACTTGAGCGGCCAATCATCAGGGTTCGTGACAACTACAGTCTCTGACGTGTATCGGTTATTCGTTGTGTCATATTATGAAGAAAATAAAACACCGCCTACCAGCTGTTCGCATCCCCGGAACAAACACACGACGCTCTCGCTCTCCCGATATGCGAGAAGAGACAGGAAGCGCCTCGAACGCGAGAGCCAAGAAGGGAACAACACACCTACTACTACTGCAGAGAGCATGTTGACGCGCAAGCAACAGTGGCGCCGAGTGAGGGGGCCGAGGTCGTCCGTGGAAACACACCAGCTCGCCGATAGAGGCGGCAGAAAGACCTGCCCGCGTGCCGCGAGGGTGCCGGATGCGCTCGCCCACCCTCGTGCCATCAACTCTCTGAGCATCGATGATTCTCTGCTCCGTCTAGTTGCGACCGGCCGCCCCGCTGCCAGCGATGAAGAAGACGAGCCTGCGGCCGCCGCCGCCCCGGCTGTCCCAAGCAGCAGCGTGCGCCGACCTGTGGTTGATGAAATTGGCGCAATCCGCGTTGGAAGCAACGTTCGGTTCAACCACCAAGTGAGGGTGGTCTTGGTGCCTTCAAGGAAGGAGCTCCGTCCGCTCATCGAGGAGCTGTGGTGGGGAACGAACGACTACGTTGAGTTCAGGTGAGATCGGCATGTGGCAGCAGTCATAACGTCATCGGCTAGATTAGCCGAGCTGAAATAAAGGCCGCGTGGAGCAACTTGGGTGGAGCAGGTTGGAGAGACGTTTTTCGTACACCCTACTGCTGGTTCTCTCTTCTCTCAAAACAGAGCAGAGCTCCCAGGGCCCCTTCCAAAGGCAGGTTAAAAAGCTACACGCGTCTACCGTATGCACAGATTGTCGGTAAGGAATAACCCTCTCGCGATGGCACCTCGCCCTGTCGGAATTCCCTTAAACCTTACTATAAAAAAATAGGCTCCGCTGAACACATCCGCATATCATGTCCGTTGCCATTCACCCTCGCGAAAGGAATACGAATGCTGCTACCTTTATACCAGTTGTTTGACGTTTCTCACCCGCACACATTCCCTATGCGACCACGAAAGCTCTCTCGGAATGAAAGGAACGTGCTGGTGTGCTCAAGCACATGCATACTTTCCGCTTCCGGCGCGTTGATCTGCAGGGCTGTTCCGCGGTATTTGTAGAGCGTACGAAAGCGCGTACATATAGTTTTGAAATGGATCTTGCTGTGATGCAAAACAGCAGATGGCTTTTGTGCGCCCCAAATTTGCCGGGGGTTGAGTTGACCAATCGCTGGTGATAAATACTGCAGCAGTTTTTCTTGTGGAGTGCAGCCTTTCTCCGGACCATTTGTCCCATGTCCTCGCTTGGCCCCCTCCAAGCGACAGCTTTGGGGTCGCACGAAACAGAGAAATGCCTCATGCTTCCCAGGTCCCCACATCTTTGTTTTGACTTACTTGCTTTGCTGACTCTGGTGGGCGGTTCAACGGATGGTTCAGAGTCAGAGGGTGGTTCCGCGTGCGATGTTCTTCCCGCTGTTTACGTTCATCTTTCCCACTGCTGCCTCCTCTATTCGCTGGTACGTTATACTTCTATCACACTTATTTTTTTTCACAGTTTGCTTTCAAATTCCTTTTTGAACCCGAAACCATCTCATGTGCGGTTACTTGTTGGGGCTTTGGTGGGAATCCTTGTCTTGTACGATTTGTCGGTTGACAACATGTGTGCATATCCATACACACCGAACACTGCAAGGAGTCGATTTCTCCCGCCGGTTTCGTCTCTTCCTTACCCCCCGCTTCCATCTATTCACTCCAGCGGCCGCCGCACTACTGCTGTGGACATGACGAGCGGGGTTAACGACTTTGGCACCCGCACCCCAAGCATACCGGATTAAGACTGCAATATTGTAGGATTCCTGTTGTGTTCGCGACTTTTTTTCTTTATACAATTGTTGTATATACTTCTGTAAGCGAGCGTTGGGCGTCGACCGAACAATCCAACCCCTAAAACCCTACCCCTAACCCCAAGCGCGGCTTCAACACGCGTTTCGCACCACGTGAAAAATAGCTGGTGAAAAATAAAACAAGATGGCATCGCATATTTCATGTCCAGTATCAGGAAAACTGACTGCGTGCTTTTACTGGGAATAGTCACTACACGCGTGGTCGCGGCGTGGTTTTTCGCGATGATGTGGTCCCACTAGAACATATTTTCGGGTGATTTTCGGCCATGATGACGATGCCGGACTCAGGCGTCAAATAGCAGAAATATTTTCAATTGTGTTGTTTCCGAAACATCTTCAACTTGAAAGCCTTCGCCAAGATGGTCCCCATCGTTCATCACCAACACATCCTCGCTCAGAGCCATGGAATATTTTCTGCAATACTTGGAATCCATCGATTGCACGATCGCACCTTCCCTCGAGTGCGTGCGTGTGGGTTTGCGTGCTTGCCCTCCTCTCTCACCCTCTCCACACTCTCGTGCGGTGCAATTTGGTGGGGTTTCATTCCGTCTAGGAGGCCAAATGATGTGGGACGTGCGTGGCATGCGGTACTGGCACTGTTCTGAGCCCGTCCTAGGAAACTGGCCAGTACAGGAATGCTGACTACTGTGAGGAGATAGTGATCCGATCCAATCCCCTACCTATTTCAGTGTTGATCTGGTTGTTCTTGGCGACAAAAGAGGCCACGGGGCAGCTGCTGGAAGAGGAACGACACCCCCCTAAAGATACTTCTCTTTCGAAGCCTCTTGCGAGATTGTGTAGCTACGCGGGCCAGCTTCCGGCGCCTGATAATAAGTCGATTGCACTTGGACACGGAAGACTGCATGCCTGAATGGTTGGACAATACCCAAGGTGATACATACAAGATACAGTACCCCCAGGCGCGACGATTTTGAAAGCTCCATTGCTCCACGATGAGCAGGATGCATATTTGAAACGATACGTTGTCGGAAAGCTCTCGACGAGACGGTACCAACGCCGCCGTTGTCTGCGCCTCTGCTCCTTCTGCTAGTCGAGTTTTGAAGTTCGACCCAGGTGGTGTGATATCTTTCCTCAACCACGGTATTCAACGCGCTTTCGTACCCCCCCCCCCCCTCCCCGGTATCGCGCTCTGACATATACAAGCTCTCCAACTTTACCCCCATGCACGCAAAACCCACCCAGGCGCGAGTTCGTCCAAGCAATGAGGGAGGCAGCCGCCGCCGAGGTGGAAAACAGAGCCAACCAAGAAACACCATCTGTGCCGGAGATCCAAGACACGGCCGTCGCCGCTGCCGCAACAGCATCGGAGGCGACCGCGTCGTCTTCGCCCCCTTCGGGAGCGCGGGGCAGCAGCAGCAGCAGCAGCAGCAGCAGCGGCAGCAGTAGCGGCGTTGCAGACGACCTGTTGCCTCCTCTCCCACGCTCGCCGCCGTCGCCCCTTTCCTCCGCGAGCCTGACGACCCCTCTCCCGCCGTCACGCGGCGCTGCTGGCGCCGCCCCGCCTTGCGCGGTCAAGGTATCCAACATATTCCCGACGGTGGGTGGCCCGGCCGAGGGCCAGGAAGACGGCGGCGACTGCGACGGCGGGCTGCTCCGGCCGGCGGCCCCGGGGGTTGTGCTCGTCGCCACCTCGATCCCGCCGGAGGCGCTAACCCTAGCGTCGGCGGCGACGACGGCGAGGAAGCCGCCGGCCACCGCGGAACGCCGCCGGAAAAAGTCGACGGCGGGCGGGGGCCGGCGGGGGCGGAAGAAGGAGGGAACGTCACTTCTGCCGTCCCCGGGGTCGTTTTCATCCTCGCGGGATTCGTGGCGCCTGGTGGCCCCGGCGGTGCAGGAGTTGCGCCGGGCGGAGCGCGTGAAGCGGGCGGCGGACTTCAATTGGGCCCCGATCGCCGGGCCATCCACGGCGGCGGCGAAAGCGGCGGCAGCGGCGGCGGCAGAGGCGGCGGCGGCACAGGACGAAGAAGAGGACGGGGGGTACCGCACCCACTCGTTGAGCTCGGCGTCGGAAGAAGGCTGTGATGACAGCGACGAGGAGAGCGGGCACGGCTGCGGGAAGGACGAGGAGTGCCGGGGTGCGGCCAAGACAATGACCAGGTCTCCTCAGCAGCCAGGTTGCGGCCCCGACTTGTTCTCCCGCGATGAGCGCACCGTTTGCATGGCATGATTTTATGTATCGGTTCTCTACCCTCACGCCGGCGGTAGATTCTGCGGTACGGCTGCCATTATGGGCCTGCAAGTCCTTTGTAGCTTGCCTTGCGGAAGAATGGCGTTCTGGGTTTGCACTCGGCAGGGGATGAGTAGCGAGGCGAGTTGATGATGATAGGATTGTTCCCCACGCTCTACCTGGGTGTCGTGACTTGCGCGATTCGCTCACCCACAAGGGCAAAAAAGGGGTTGCGGATCGTGTTTTGTGGAGGAGTTAATGCGTCGACGCGTGGGTGCTGCTGCGGATAAAAGAGAGTGCTTTGCCCACAACGGAAGGACGTTTATTTGATCCATGACAACAAGAAGGATGCGTATTGTATGCTACTCCGATTGGTTTCTTCTTGTGAGCGTGGGAGTGCTTCTGTGTTTCGGGAGTTCTATGTGTGTGGTTTTCGTATGTTGGCTTGTTTCCGATGGGGTTGGGCATGCATTACACCCTTCTCCCTGGACGGTTTGTGATTTCATGTATTTTTTGGAACGCGTTGTGTCTCCGTTTCCACCATAGACTAGAGGAGGGGAACACCAGAGGAAAGGCCGAGGTCTCTGTTGTTCTGGTGATTTGTCTGTTGCTTGCAGTCCATGAGAACATTCGTGCTATACTTCATGGTTGCTGCCTATTTGTTTGTGGCTACTTTTCAGAGGCAATGCATGCTTTGGGAAGAGGCCTTCTATACTTAATGGTTGCTGCCTATGTTGTTTGTGGCTACTTTTCAGAGGCAATGCATGCTCTGGGAAGAGGCCTTCGGCACTCCAAAAACAGGGAGAGAACGCTAGAGGAGGAAACGCTCAGAACTGGCTGGGTACATGGTGATATGTCAGACGCTCGTGTGTCTTTGTTTTTTTGCGAACGCTCGGTTTGTTTGCTGCTCACTGGTCTGGAGGGTCGTGGACGATCGATCCTAGCGTCATTTTTGTGCGTTTTTTTTTTTGATGTCCAGAGGCACCCCAACAGTGTGGGACGAGCTCTCGACATGCGAAGTGGGATGCATGGGTGGCCTGGGTTGCTGTTATTTCGGAGGGTTGCGACAGTTTTTGCGAAGTGTGAAGTTTGAAGCACTGAACCTTGCTGCTGCTGCTTCTGCTGGGTGAGGGGTGCTTGTCCCATGTGTATGTAGCTCGACTTGTTTGCTGCTTGCAGTCGGCGAGAGCATGTGTTTGCACAAAACCTTCTACGTACTGCATTTGTTGTGTAGAGGCGCCATGCTTTGGAACGACGCCTTGGACACTCAGAACAGCGGGGGGGGGGGGACAGGCAGAAACTGTCAGAACTGGCTGGGTACGTGCACTTGCGTGTCTTCGTTTTTTTTTCTTCTTGTTCTGACGCTCGAATTGTGTGCTGCTCCCCGGCCACAAGAGTGGTGGAACGGCAAATTCTCGTCGGTTTTCCATTTTTATTTTCAGAGGCACCCCGCGTATGCATACTAAGGTACGAACCGCTCGAAGCGGGAAACGAGATGCGCGTTTTTCGGGGAGGGTGCTGCTCCTTCGGAGGGCTGAGACAGTATGTGCGAAGTGTAAAGTTTTAAGTGAAGTTTTACGCACTGAATCTTGCTGTTGCTGCTGCTGCGCCTTCTTTTGTCATGTGTAGCCTTTTATAGGGATGGGTCTCATGTGAATAGGGTTGCTGGTCTACTGCCTTGAATACTCCCCATTACGTGACGTTGACAAGGGATTGAATATTTCGCCAATGTGAGGATGTGTTGTGCGTTGCTTTGTGGGTTTGCTCGTGATATCGTTTTTAGCCTTTGAAGTGTCGCGTATCGAAGGAGAGGTGCCGGGGGAGAGGTCAGACCGTTTTCTTGCCATTGTAGAGACAACGACAGATGTTGATACTCCTATATGTCGATGGCGGCAGTGAAAACACACAAATCGAGGTTGCGTAAAAAACGAGCTCTCGACTACCGGTGTGTTGCAGCGAGAGAAGGAAGGGTTGTTGAATCGAGCGCAAGTTTAGAAAACATGGTTTGTCGTTGGGGGGGGCTGAATACAAGGAGGTGTACAACCCGAAATGAATGATGCGATGGACAGTGATCGATATCATCTGCGTGCATCTGCGTGGTGTACTCTGCCTTGTCTGCCGCATGCATTCTACCGCTGACGGCCGCATGCATGGTGGTAGACGGAGCGACGTTGAAAAGACCTGCACGCCTACAAGATTGACCGATTTCAGTAAGGTTAATTTTGTTTTTATTTGGGACGACCTCTGGTTGATTCAGTGAGACCGAGGGATCAAGACAAGCAAGGTGTAATGCTAAACCCCTTGCACTTTTCGAGGTGACGAAAACGCGAGACACAGGAAGGGAACAATACCGAATTTTATGAGCGAGGCAGATGCTACAGCCGCGCGCAACAATAGCGCCCTGCTTCACCCTCGCCGGCCTGCTCATTCCGCGACTGTAAATCAATCGAAGAGAGGGAGGCCTGAAGGCGACACCTTCATGACGTATGACCCTGGCCCATATGTCCACACAACCCATACCGAACGATGTAAAAACTGCGGTCCAGAATTGGTGGGACACACACAAACACAAAATACGCCGTTTCATAATAATTAATAACCAGATCAAGCCTGAGAAAAGTCGTTCTTCGTGAAGCGTCTCTTTTTCCGCTGCAAATCCTGCCGATACAGTGAGTGTCTCTTGTCACACCCACGATCGAGCATGATGACTGAAGGTCCCAATACGAAATCAATGAGGTACAACGTGCTCTCGTCACGACGTGCTGGCCTGAGCGGCGCCATGTGCGCCAAACACATTTATTCTCTCACCCTCTGGCGAAACGCTTTTTTCCTGTGTACCCCCTGTGCGCATCCGCCCAATCCTGTGGGAATCAGACCCCTTCCTGTCTTTTTTGGGACATGGCACCCCCTTGGGTTGCTGCCTGTTTTCGCTTTCAGCTTACGGTAACCGACGACGACAAATAAATTGAGAGGCGAACCCACACTCCATGTATGTATGACCGCGGTTTCCGCGGCTATTTGCCACCACCGCTGTGCCTCCCCCCCCCCCCCCGGCAGCATCCCCAAACCTCCAGGAAGGGAAGCAACACGAAA